ATCTCGTACACGCGGCCCCTTTCTACTATTGCCATTATCGCAAGAAGAACTTTTCTGCTTTTTAGCGTTCAGTCGACGTATTTGTTCTTTTCAAATGACTCAAGATAAAATGGTTTTTATATTACTATTTACCATGCAGTTTTAAGATATTTGTAAATGTGTTTGCTTTTCTGTATGTAATATAAAGGCGTCTTCTAAGGGAATCTCTGAAGAAATATCCTTTCCCTCTTTTTTCAGAAAAATGCTGATGTCAGCATTTTTGCTGAGATTCAAGGCTAATTATCTCGAAAAAATCCATGGCTACCCCTATTTTTCTTTATGGATTCCAATAGCCCTTGCAAAGATCTACTTTTTCCGCATGGTCCTAACCTTGCGAAAAAACCTTTGTATTTAGTAGGCACCGTCCTTAGGATAATAACACTTTCCGCTACTATGTCTATATTTCACACTGCACAAATTATCGATATTGCATGTAAGTCAACAAACCACATGAATAATTTGACATTCTTAAAAGCAGCATGTCATCAAAAGTATCCCTTCCTCTTAAGATAATGCCAAGAGGAACACTTTATTCTAACCACCAGCCTGCCCTACAGCTTAATGGAAAAGTGACTCTTGTTGACTCGCTTCATTTTCCCATTTTAGAAATACCGTTAATTGTTGCAGTGTGTAATAGGATATTGGTTCACATCAAATTGACTCGTTTTATGCCAACCATTTGCCTGGCCTGTTAATTCTATATCATGAAGTGTTCCTTTCATTTTTTTCGGTTTCGCTTTATCGGTTGTTTTCAGCTGGTTTACTTGCATTTATTTAAGAACGCTGGAAAGCTTGCCGAGGGCAAAAACCTGGCTGATGCCAAACTGACAACTGAGATAGGAAGCGTCAACATCTTCTTGATCAACTAAGGCAGGTTTAAACTATTAGATTGTAATACGCGAAGAATACTTGTAAAGTAACAAAGGATGAGTTTTAAAGAATTCCCGATGCTACCTCGTTTTATGTGAAACCTAGCTTCTCGAATGTAGCCTCCGAGAAGAGACAAGCCGATAGTCAGGGGATTGTAAAAAGAGAGAGAGATTCTAAAGCTTATTACCAAAGGAACAGTTTAAAGCAACAGGGAAAATAGAATTACGTTTGTGTTGCGGTCCAAGGGTAGACCGGAGAATACTAAAAAAGAGTTTAAATGAAATTTCCATTTTTTTGGAGTTCCAGTTTATCAAAGAGATCAGGAACATGTCTAAGGTGGGAAACATTATGCTCTCCAGCATTAATTTGCTTAAAATATGGTTATTCAGTCAGCAAATTTTACAAACCAGCGCTGTAACCATCTTCTAACATGTAAAATGTGAGCCGGTTGAGCCAAAACGCTGTAGCCTTAAAATTATTTGCATGCCGCACTGTAAGGTTTACACTTTACAATTTTATTCTCAAAGGATCTTTCTCCACCCAAAGAAGAAGGAAAACCAGGATAAAGATAAAGGTACGAGTATACAACTCAAGCTGGCGGCTTCACTTTTTAATTTTTATTGCCGTAAATAGTAAGTAAGTAAGTAAAGTAAAGTAAAGTAAAGTAAAGTAAAGTAAAAGCTTTATTAATGTGTCAATGTATTTAGTTTTCACAACTAACTGGGAACACAACAACAAAAAAGTTAATGATTTTAAATAAATAGTATGATTTTAACCTCAGAAAGGCTGGACAGCTGAAACTTCGTCATATATTAAGACCGGAATAGTCAGAGTTTGTCCTCATCCTCTTTAATCTAAACCCCACACATTCGGTTACAGCAATCAGATCTCGTAGTCGTGCACGTGTTTTAACTAAGAACATATCGATAACATTGTGATTGGGGACTTCTTCTTCTTTTTAATTTTGAAATTAATAAAACACTAACAAATGAGAAAATTTACACGTTGATGTATGCTTTTCAGTTCCTGTCAATTGCGGTTAAAAACCTGACACGATTAACTCGCTTCTCTCCACAGACAGACGAGTAATTACGTCTCACAGCAATGGATAAAAGGATAGAGCTTTGAGATGTCGTCTTTATCTGAGTGCATACCCTGGATGACTGTAGGCTCAGCTGAGTCTGTTGCTATAGTTACCCTCAACCTCTGTACGATAATTGTTTTCACAAAAAATCCTAACCTCCGCAAACGTAGCACGCACCTGTTGATAAATTTAGCGGTTATAGACATGTTGGCTGGAGGATCTGCTGTATATTATCAGTTGTATGTGGTTGGGGCAACCTGTGATGTATGGAAATGGCATTCATTTGAAAGTTGGCCATTTGATGTACTCCAAGTAGTCATGTCTTTGTTACCTANTTAGCTGGAAATAATTAAGAACGAGCCAAAAACTGAAATTAACTGAAAATAAAAAACAGGCATTTGATCCGTTCGTTTCAAGAAGAAAGAGAAGGTATTTGATTTCTAAAATGCTTAATGTGCCAAATAACGGCACATGATTGAATTTAACCGTGTAAATTGCGCTGACTAAAATAAATACGCAAGAAGATTTTCGTGTCCCGAGCTGACTAATCCAAACAGCAACCTTTCACTGAGGGACAAAATTGTTGAGACACTTGGCAGTAAAATTCGATTTTCGAGTGTCTTGAAAACATTCCCACCCCCTCCCCACCCCCCTAAACAATCTTGATTTTTCAATTTCTCAGACTGCACAGACCACAGTCCACACAACATTGATTGTGGGGCCGTGGGTATCAGAGAATTAACGCTAGATGCAAACGACATAGATTAAGAGTTTAATATCGAAAAGCCTTCTAAAGGTGTCTCAACTTTTTTTTTTTTTTCGCCCATTGTCTGGAGTCTATTTCGGTAAACTGTGGCGATTTCAGTTAGATTTCCAAGCTCTAGTAAGTATCATATAAACTCTTGGTCTTCGGTCATCGTAGTATGATTAAAAATATAAAACAAACAGCGGTGATAAACATTTTAAAAACACGCATTTTATGAACTTGACGTTTCGTATACTAGTCGACATACATTTTCAAAAGTATAACCGTTAACTTTTTTTTTTTTTTTTTTTGGAAAGCTATCCATACTGTATCAATTTGGGTCTGGAACCTAGACAGAAAACATCTGCGGTAGAAATTTAAGACGTTTCAAACGGAAACTGTCTCTAAAGTGACACAATGGAAAAGCTTTCCACTGCTGGCATTGGCACTCAGTGCTGGCCGCAACTCCTGAATAGACAAGGTAGTCAGTCTTCCGGACACCAAAATGTCAAAATGGTCCCATTTGATGTTGTGACCAGTTGTTTCAACGTGATCAGCAACAGCAGAAGAGTGATTATGTTTCAAAAGGGTCGATCTTGAAATGTTCTGTTTTCCGGTTGTGAAGTCTTCGCTTCGTTTTCTAGTATCTAGTATCTAAATATCTAGTGAGTATGTTATCAAAACAAACCACTAATTGTGTTGTTCAGAGTGATTTGTGACTAAAGAAAAAGTGACAAGTGTTTTTTCCTCACGAAAATCAAAGACGAAACCTAGTCTATCCCGTACATAAATTGATCACATAATTCAGTCGCCCTCAAGGTGGTGTTTATCGCCACTTTTTCACTTTTAAAGCGTTCAAAGAGTATCAATCTCACTTTCATTCAACGCAATTCTCACCATGACGCAAAGGCTACAAGTTTTTCTTTGTTCAGTTGTTATATTATGACGGAAACAAACAGAAATTGTACCGTTCTACGGCAATATATGTCTGACCACAAAGCAATGGTTTACCATTGCAGTTGGCCTCATAATGACGTCACATTAGCGTGTGCATATCATTCTGATAACGGCATTGTACTGAGCACATAACATCTGATTTAACAAATTGACGTCAGTTTTTCATGCGTCTCTCATGTTATCGATCATGAATTTCGTCATAACATTGTCAAAGTAGCCGTGGATCCACGAGGCGACGGCCGAGTGAATCCGCAGACTTTTTTTTTGTATTCCTTTACTGAACTCTTACTCCAAGAGTTACTAATCTTTCTTAATCCGACGCGAAAACGCGTTATGCAAATTTATGCTCGAAAAATCCACAGAAAGGCCCTTGTTTAAGGACGGTGGCTACTTTTGTTAGTGCGCACACGTTCTGCGCACCACGCAAGCATGGTTTAAGCGCCACGCGCGCGCTGGGTTGACATTGACGCAATCAACTACGCTACCAAGTACACGACTAAAATGAAAGCAAAGTTTTCCTACTGTGACAAAATCAAGTTTAATGAACCTGTACTTAAACCAGGAATACCAGACTAGCAGCGTATCGCTAACCACTAACTGTTAACGTCTTCCAGCTGAAAACCTAGCCCTTATCTGTCGAAAATTATACTGAAATCCAATTGTAAACATGCACCTGCACATGGCGTAGTGTGCGCGCGAAACAAGTATGAGATACGCAATTGCTTTACTTACTAGGGAGGTGACAGGAAAAAATGTTATGGGCACCTTAAAAGTTTTCAAAAAAGATCAATAACTTTAAAAAACGCGTGGTTACCCTACATTTTCCGTTACGAAATGGAAGTGGCAAGCCTATTCAACATGTGATTAGTTTCTGGTTGTGAGCAAAAGGTATTTAGACTGTATTTTAGCTGAACCAGAGGAAGGCTGTCAGAGACGCTAAAAACGCTGTGGCAACGATTTTGTCATTAAAAACACACCAAAAATGGTTTTTATGTTACCATTTACCATGTAGTTTTAAGATCTTTCTAAATGTGTTTGCTTTTCTGTATATAAAGGCGAATTCTAAGGAAATCTGTCAAGAAATATCCTTTCCTTCTTTTTTCAGAAAAATGCTGATGTCAGCATTTTTGCTGAGATTCAAGGCTAATTACCTCAAAGAAATACACTGCAACCCCAATTTTTCTTTATGGATTCCAATAGCCCTTGCAAAGATCTACTTTTTCCGCATGGTCCTAACCTGGCGCAAAAACCTTTGTAACATTCGGTTACAGCAATCAGATCTCGTAGTCGTGCACGTGTTTTAACTAAGAACATATCGATAACATTGTGATTGGGGACTTCTTCTTCTTTTTAATTTTGAAATTAATAAAACACTAACAAATGAGAAAATTTACACGTTGATGTATGCTTTTCAGTTCCTGTCAATTGCGGTTAAAAACCTGACACGATTAACTCGCTTCTCTCCACAGACAGACGAGTAATTACGTCTCACAGCAATGGATAAAAGGATAGAGCTTTGAGATGTCGTCTTTATCTGAGTGCATACCCTGGATGACTGTAGGCTCAGCTGAGTCTGTTGCTATAGTTACCCTCAACCTCTGTACGATAATTGTTTTCACAAAAAATCCTAACCTCCGCAAACGTAGCACGCACCTGTTGATAAATTTAGCGGTTATAGACATGTTGGCTGGAGGATCTGCTGTATATTATCAGTTGTATGTGGTTGGGGCAACCTGTGATGTATGGAAATGGCATTCATTTGAAAGTTGGCCATTTGATGTACTCCAAGTAGTCATGTCTTTGTTACCTACTAGTTCTTTAGCGAACATTACTATAATTGCTTTAGAACGGACACACGCAACTTTCTGGGCTTTTAGGCATCGCGTGCTGAAGAAATCGGTGTACGGAATAATAGTTGCAGTTTTTTGGGCAACAACTGGCTTGGTAGCAGTTGCTTATACCCTCCTTAAACATTTTGGCGAATTATCTTACTTAACTTCTGACTTGACGGTTTCTTTAGTTGTGGTGTGCCTTTTGATTATTTTCGTTTCTTACGTGTCTATTGTTATTAAAGTCCGTTGTGGAGCGCAGCCTCAACACCATGGTGCAGCCAGTAGAGAAAGAAAACTGACCATGACATTGTTGATTGTGACTGTCGTATCTCTTCTGCTGTACCTACCAATTGTGATCTTTTATTTTCTCCAGTTTGGCAGAAAATTTGAAATATTGCAGTCACTGTACTCTTCAGAGTATTTTAATTTATCTAATGGAGTAATAACTTTATATTTTGCCAACAACCTTGTAAATCCTATACTATATGCTATCCGCATGCCAGAATACAGATCAGCTTTACTTTCACTCTTTCCCAAACGACCTCACCAACAAAGACGAGTTGTAGATTTACCTCTTCGTGACATGTAATGCGGATAATAAATATTAAACGCTATTACATCTTTCAGCCTCGCTTTGCTTTTTTTCGAAAGATTATGTTAACCCAAATTTCAATCAAGGACGTTCGATCGCGGCCAAAATGTTCCCACGGATAGATTTTTTTT